GCTGTGTATAATTATTTTGTATATATAAATAGACACACACATGCTTGTATATATTTAAGAAAATGTGTTATTCATATATAAAATATTTTATATATAATATAGATTATGTATTTATATATATATAAGTATTTACATGGAAATAATTCTTAAACATATACATGCATGCATATGTATTTATATATACAAAATAATTATACACAGCACACACATATATATTATGTAAACAAAAAACTTTTATTTTGGATGCGATTAATCCCAATTAATCTTTGCACAGCCCTAATTTTAATGGGAAAACGACTTTTAAAGTCTTGTTTTCTACAACAAATATCTTAAATCAAGACACATTTACTGGAGAAACAAAATAACTGAAGATAATAAGTCTTGTTGTTTTGGAAAAGTGTCGAAATGAAGTGAGTTTATGCTTAAAAAAAGAACAAATATTGGTCAATGGCCTCAGAAGAACAAAGGAAAACAAGTTTTTTTTTTTTTTTTTTACTCCATTTAGCAGACGCTTTGGTTTTTCTTCAGAAAACAAGACCTAACATCTGAAGTCATTTTGCTTCTCAGATAAATTTATGTTTATTTATGAATATATATGTACTGGAAAACAAGACCAAAACACTAAAGGAAAAACATTTTTTTGGCATTAAAACATTCCTAATAATAAAACATTAATATTAGGAATAAATATGCCACCCATGATAATATAGAAGAAAAAATTAAGTGAAATATTAATATGAACTCAAACCAATGCGTGAATTATAACCCAAAAATAATGCTTTATTTTAAATGTTATTTTTGCAATAGAAGGTTTAAATTGCTCTAGTTGCTTACGAATTTGGGAAAACTGCTCATCTGGGCATCTATGCTTCCTTAAAATCCACAAACTGCAGTACAAATATCATGTAACTGTGAACAGCCATTTTGTGTAACATTCTCAGTGTGTGTGTGTGTGTGTGTGTGTGTGTTAGTGTTCTCCTCTCATCATGTGAGCACCTGTTTTCAGCATGACCTCAGCTCTCTGACCGCTTACTTCAGCCTCACAGAACAACAGAGCAGCAAATCTGATCCAGCTGTTCCTCCAGCGAAACGACTGTTCTTAAAGCCACAGTCCACACATTCACTGCAGCATTTACACTCACGAGATCCAGAGTCACATTCACTGCAGCATTTACACTCACGAGATCCAGAGTCACATTCACTGCAGCATTTACACTCACGAGATCCAGAGTCACTTTCACTGCAGCATTTACACACACTTGATCCAGAGTCACATTTACTACAGAATTTACACACACTTGATCCAGAGTCACATTCACTGCAGCATTTACACACACTTGATCCAGAGTCACATTCACTGCAGCATTTACACAAACTTGATCCAGAGTCACTTTCACTGCAGCATTTACACACACTTGATCCAGAGTCACTTTCACTACAGCATTTACACACACTTGATCCAGAGTCACATTCACTGCAGCATTTACACACACATGATCCAGAGTCACTTTCACTACAGCATTTACACACACTTGATCCAGAGTCACATTTACTACAGCATTTACACACACTTGATCCAGAGTCACATTCACTGCAGCATTTACACACACTTGATCCAGAGTCACATTCACTACAGCATTTACACACACTTGATCCAGAGTCACATTTACTACAGAATTTACACACACTTGATCCAGAGTCACATTCACTACAGCATTTACACACACTTGATCCAGAGTCACATTCACTACAGCATTTACACACACTTGATCCAGAGTCACATTCACTACAGCATTTACACACACTTGATCCAGAGTCACATTCACTACAGCATTTACACACACTTGATCCAGAGTCACATTCACTGCAGCATTTACACACACTTGATCCAGAGTCACATTCACTACAGCATTTACACACACTTGATCCAGAGTCACATTAACTACAGCATTTAAACAGAGTCACAGAGTCACATTCACTGCAGCATCTACACACACTTGATCCAGAGTCACATTCACTGTAGCATTTACACACACACACACACACACACACACACACACACACACACACACACACACACACACACTAGATCCAGAGTCACATTCACTGCAGCATTTACACACACTAGATCTGGAGTCACATTTGTTTTCATTGAAAGAGCAGCGTGAAGGTTTGGAAGAATATGAGGGGGAGTGATGACAGAACAGGGGTCCATTAAATAATGTAAGATAAATAAATAAATTATAAAATAAAACTTGTACTTCTTTTATCCCAGCTCATTGCCAATTGCCATTTTTTGTTTTAAAGTTGAAGGACTAAAAGAACTAAAATTAAAACTACAGACACTAACAAACTAATAAAATTCAGAAAAACACAATAAATTACTAAAACATTAACTGTTAAAGATACCTGCTATTACTATATATATATATATATTTATATATATTTTTTCTTTTACAGTGTATATATATATATATCTATATATATATATGAAGAGTTCAGATGCAAAAGCCTCTAAATGCCATTTGAAATTTTCTTCTTTAATGATGATTTTTATCAAACTTGTATATTTAAGTTCAGTAATTTCACTTAAATAACAATTAGTAGGTAATTATCATTGCCATTTAAGTGAAATCACTGAACTTAAATATACAAGCTTGATAAAAATGGTCATTCTAGAAGAAAATTTCAAATGGCACTTAGAGGCTTTTGCATCTGAACTCTATATATATATTATAAAATAAATAAAGGGATATTTCACCTAAAAATGATTTTGTGAAATTATTTTAGTAGTTTAGTTCACTGATATACTATAGGTACTAAAATGCGACAAAAATATAACTTTTTGGACTATACCTTTAAGGAAACTAATTAAACTCACACACACGCACACGCACACGCACACACACGCGTGACAGTGAACAAATAAACATCAGCGTCACTGAGACATTGAGCAGAGATTCAGGACCTTGTCAACAGCAGAGCTTGTCCAATAAAACGCCTGAGAAACCCACGACTGCATTTATTCATTTACTTCATTAAAACAGCTCGTTAACACTCGAAATATGCACACACACACACGTCTCAACCAAAAACAACTTTAAAAAGAGCAGTTCTTCATGAGAAACACATGAAAACAACTAGCAGAATATTTCTTTACATTTGACTTACTTGAGTGACACCTTTTAGACTACAAGAATGCTCCTTGAAAACAATTTTGCAACTTAATTTTTACATTTTCTGAAGAAAACAAGATGCGTTCCTGAGCAAAACATTCATTTTCAATAATTCAGTGGGACAATTTTTATGCAATTCACATTCTGATGACTACTTAAAAACATACGAGTGCATTTCGTTTGTGTATAAATGTGCATGTAATAAGAGAACACAACCCTTTACTGTGTATGTGTGTGTATTACAGGCATTATCTTCTTCTCTTTATGTATTCTCTTTCTGTGCTTTATTCTCTCCAGCTGTCTGAAGCTTTATGGATTGTTTCAAGTCTTAAAAAAAGCCTTAAATATGGAAAATATTACCAGCATCTTCCCTGATGCTTTGAAGTCCATTCCTCCCCCTCATTCTGTCTCTCGCTCAGATATTTCCTGTATTTATTCCTGCGCTGCTCATAACTTACAGTCCGAAGAGAGTCGACACTGCTAACCTGACCCGATGCACACATTACAGGAGATCAACAGTGACGTCATGCACTGCATTAAGCTGGACATTTACTGCAATTGTTGCAAAGATTTAGAGTAGATTAGTCTTAAACTTTTGCATTGAGATCAACGTTCAACAGGAAGTGGCTCAAGCATTTCACTCGCATTTACGACAAAAAATAGATGCGAACTTTAGGAGTATGTGTGTGAAAAAGTAGAGCTGAAGCTTTTAAAAGCCTTAAATGTAGTTATAAGTATCTTAAAGGAGAACTCCGGCGCAAAATTAATCTTTGGTCTAATAAAACATTGGTACCTAGTCAAACGTTCTCTGAGATTTGTTTTCATGATTATCGAATGTAAAGAGTTTTATCTCTAAAAACTGTTTAGCGTATAACGCTAGTATATGGGGGCATAGAATAAGTAAAAAGAAATCACTAGTTAATACCAATAACAAGGCTCAAAATAGCCCCACATTTACACAGTAACATAAAGAGGGTCCATACATGCAAAACGAAGCATTCAGAACTTTGTAAGTGTACACACCGTTTAATAAGAAGATACTTTATAAAGACAGTTCACTTCGCGTATACAGACAGGAGCCATCTTAGAAAATAGTCTCGATAAGTCGATCCCCGAACGCCGTTCATACAGTTCAGAAGTTCAGCTCACCCAGCACGACATTCGTGGTTTGACTTGTTGTGACTGTTTTCCAAGATGGCTCCTGTCAGTAAGTGAACGGTTGACTAGGTGGCGATGTTTTATTAGACCAAAGGTTCATTTTGCACCGGAGTTCTCCTTTAAACGGTATAACAACAGTCTTGAAGTGCCTTATAATGCCATTTTAAAAGCTTCTAGATTAGTTCTGGAGTCTCCACAACAGCTTTACATGCCTCAAAGATCCAAAAACACTTTCATTTCCTCATAATATCCACTGCTCTTTTCTCACAGTGTCTGAAACGCTTCGTTTGAAGATTCAGTCTCTCAAAACCCCGCCTCTCTGAAAGCCACTCTGCTCTGATTGGTCAGGTGGCCCAGTGTGCTGTGATTGGTCAGAAAAATATCTGACTCTCAGCTCTTGATCAAAGTGATACGAACAGTAGCGATGTCATGGGTTTTACCGTATCAATCTCATCAAAGTGGATTTGCTTTGTCAGCAGAAAACAGCGTCTCCTCGACACGAACAACACAAACCAAACTCTCCTAGACTCAGATACACTAGTGTTTGAGGGCGGAGCTAAGAGATGCTGTTCAGCCAATCAAAACTATTGACTGGCATTATGAAAATTTGTTACAAACCTACGTAGGTTCAGCAGCAGCCAATAAGCAAAGACCAGTGGTTCTTACCATGAGCGAGTGTCTGTTGGACGGCAGCAGTCCAGCGCTGTATCCGCTCATGGCCCCGTTGTGCGAGTGTGATGGAGGGATCAATGCGTGCATGTCCGCGTGAGCGCCGGGCATCGCTGTGGACGGACCGACCGCGTGACTCCGCAACACGTGGATCGCATCGTCCAGGCGCTCCAATCTGTCCTCGATACGACTTTGCTGAGAAACAGAATGAATGCACAGATACCATTCCTTTGTACTATTGATTCATTTTCTTGCACTCTATCTAATTTCTTAGGCATGCATGTGAACATTTCTGTACGGATAGAGTATATGGTTTCTGTAAAGCACATATTTGGGTCACACTTTAGTTAGCATTAGTTAACATGAACTAATAATGAACTGCACTTATACAACATTTATTAATCTTTGTTCATGTTAATTTCAACATTTAATAATTCTTTATTTAAATCTTGTCAACATTAGTTAATGCACTGTGAACTTATATTATCAGCTGTATTTTTAATAATAATAACATTAACAAAGATGAACAAATACAGTAACAAATGTATTGTTCATGGTTAGTTCATGTTAGTTAATACATTAACTAATGTTAACTAATGAACCTTATTGTAAATGGTTCAGTAGCACTTCATTGCAGTACACGAGATCCAGGGGGCGGAGTCGGATCCAGATCTGAGGGGTGGAGTTGGGTAGGTTTAGGGGTGGGTTTAGCGATCAGGGGGTGGAGCTGGGTAGGTTTAGGGGTGGGTTTAGCGATCAGGGGGTGGAGCTGGGTAGGTTTAGGGGTGGGTTTAGGGATCATGGGGTGGAGCTGGGCAGGTTTAGGGGAGGATTTATGGATCAGGGGGTGGAGTTGGGTAGGTTTAGGGTGGGTTTAGCGATCAGGGGGTGGAGCTGGGTAGGTTTAGGGGTGGGTTTAGGGATCATGGGGTGGAGCTGGGCAGGTTTAGGGGAGGATTTATGGATCAGGGGGTGGAGTTGGGCAGGTTTAGGGGTGGGTTTAGGGATCAGGGGGTGGAGATGGGCAGGTTTAGGGGTGGGTTTAGGGATCAGGGGGTGGAGATGGGCAGGTTTAGGGGAGGATTTATGGATCAGGGGGTGGAGATGGGCAGGTTTAGGGGTGGGTTTAGGGATCAGGGGGTGGAGATGGGCAGGTTTAGGGGTGGGTTTAGGGATCAGTGGGTGGAGTTGGGCAGGTTTAGGGGAGGATTATGGATCAGGGGGTGGAGTTGGGCAGGTTTAGGGGTGGGTTTAGGGATCAGGGGGTGGAGATGGGCAGGTTTAGGGGTGGGTTTAGGGATCAGTGGGTGGAGATGGGTAGGTTTTAGGGGTGGGTTTAGGGATCAGTGGGTGGAGTTGGGCAGGTTTAGGGGAGGATTTATGGATCAGGGGGTGGAGTTGGGCAGGTTTAGGGGTGGGTTTAGGGATCAGGGGGTGGAGATGGGCAGGTTTAGGGGTGGGTTTAGGGATCAGGGGGTGGAGATGGGTAGGTTTAGGGGTGGGTTTAGCGATCAGGGGGTGGAGCTGGGTAGGTTTAGGGTGGTTTTAGGGATCAGGGGGTGGAGCTGGGTAGGTTTAGGGGTGGGTTTAGCGATCAGGGGGTGGAGCTGGGCAGGTTTAGGGGTGGGTTTAGGGATCAGGGGGTGGAGATGGGCAGGTTTAAGGGTGGTTTTAGGGATCAGGGGGTGGAGCTGGGTAGGTTTAGGGGTGGGTTTTAGGGATCATGGGGTGGAGCTGGGCAGGTTTAGGGGAGGATTTATGGATCAGGGGGTGGAGTTGGGCAGGTTTTAGGGTGGGTTTAGGGATCAGGGGGTGGAGATGGGCAGGTTTAGGGGAGGATTTATGGATCAGGGGGTGGAGTTTGGTAGGTTTAGGGGTGGGTTTAGGGATCAGGGGGTGGAGCTGGGTAGGTTTAGGGTGGGTTTAGGGATCATGGGGTGGAGCTGGGCAGGGTTTAGGGGAGGATTTAGGGATCAGGGGGGTGGAGTTGGGCAGGGTTTAGGGTGGGTTTAAGGATCAGGGGGTGGAGATGGGCAGGTTTAGGGGTGGGTTAGGATCGGATCAGGGGGTGGAGATGGGCAGGTTAAGGGTGGGTTTAGTGATCAGGGGGTGGAGCTGGGTAGGTTTAGGGGTGGGTTTATGGATCAGGGGGTGGAGCTGGGCAGGTTTAAGGGTGGTTTTAGGGATCAGGGGGTGGAGCTGGGTAGGTTTAGGGGTGGGTTTAGGGATCAGTGGGTGGAGATGGGTAGGTTTAGGGGTGGGTTTAGGGATCAGTGGGTGGAGCTGGGTAGGTTTAGGGGTGGGTTTAGGGATCAGTGGGTGGAGATGGGTAGGTTTAGGGGTGGGTTTAGGGATCAGGGGGTGGAGCTGGGCAGGTTTAGGGGTGGGTTTATGGATCAGGGGGTGGAGCTGGGCAGGTTTAAGGGTGGGTTTAGGGATCAGGGGGTGGAGCTGGGCAGGTTTAGGGTGGGTTTTATGGATCAGGGGTGGAGCTGGGCAGGTTTAAAGGAGCAATGTGTGATTTTTAGCGACATCTAGTGGTTCGGTTGCGAGTTTGCACCAGGTTTGCACTAAGGGCTCAGCCCACTGCTCACCCCTCCCTTTCGAAGAAGCTACGGTTGCTAAAACGGGACAAACATCTCGTCGGCTGAGACAGCAGAGAATAGCCAGAGTAAGCCAAGAGTGTGTAACATTGTCACTGTTTCTGTACCACAGTCCATTATAAACCACATCATGAATACTGTTTACAAAGCCATAGTCAGGTGAGGATCAAGGGTTTTAATATATAATTTAATAAAATAATATTAATCAGCTGATTGTCTCACAAACGTAACCAGCAGCACATTTATCCCCACATACTGTAGCAAACCCATAATACAGCGAGGGAGCAGCTATATATTTTTTCTAACAGGGTAGTAATAGTTTAGCTGGCTAATATGAGCTGTTACTGTGGCTGAGCTGGGACTCGTCCGCTTAGGGGTGGGTTTAGGGATCAGGGGGTGGAGCTGGGTAGGTTTAGGTATATGTAAGGTGGGAGAAGTTGGATGTGGATCCGACTCCTCCTCGTGTATTTCATGTTCTGCAGTGAACACCATCTCAAATTGTTACCCATATTTGATGCACAAAATACCTTCTTTTTATGCAATTGTTTTCTAATGTTTAGTATCCTAAACTAATGCAGTAACTATAGTATTTCAACAAACACATCATGGCAAAGCCTGTATTATTTCCTAAAGGCTGAACAGAATTGACAGGAACAGAGTTGAATCTCTTACCAGTGAGTGCAGTGGTGGCTCGTAACTGGGAGATGAAGATCCTTGACCGTTTCTAGACCAGACGGCCGTACTGGCAGCTGGAGGAACAAGACCATCATCATCATCCTCACGGTCAACAAGCACATCAACCAACATCTCCATTCCTCAAACACATCCATCTATTCTTACAGCACTTTTTACACATGAAATGCAGCTCATAGTACAATACAAACAGAAAAATCTGAATGGTGATACTGTGATTTTAAATGTCAACACAATATCAATAATACTGATATTAATACTCAACAGCAGATATGTCTCGACACTACTTTACATTTTTAATTACTTGTAGCCGTTTTTCTTTTTTGTGCAGATAAATGATAGATAGATAGATACTGTAGATGGACAGATAGATAGACAGAAGGATGGATGGATGGATGGATGGATGGATAGATAGATGGATAGATGGATAGATAGATAGATAGATAGATAGATAGATAGATAGATAGATAGATAGATAGATAGATAGATAGATAGATAGATAGATAGATAGATTACATTTTTCCTAGTAAATCATTCCTCATATACAGTATCCTCTCATTTAGTTTTCCCTGTTGATCCGACACTCACACCCGACCAATTAACTGTCGTTCACTCCAGCGGAATAAATGATTCTGTTCCTCTTTTGTTTGGTGTGTTCTCTCAGTGAGAGTGTAGATGTGAAGCTCATCAGCCGGTGGCGCGACTCTGCCTTTGATGGGTGACGACCCCAATGCTAATAACACCTCGTTATTCTTCCCTTCTTCTTCTCTCTTTCACACGCTCGTGTTAAGATGCAAACGCGGCCGGTTCACGCCGGTAATTAGAGAGCAGCGCCGCTCATTTATTCCTTCTCTCTGACCTTCACCTGTTTGCGTTTGTGCATCCGCTCATCGCGTATATCACGGCTAATTATGTTGTGTTTTTTTTCAAATTGTTCTTCTTTATAGAAACATGCATTTCAGACGCTTCTCTGTATTATTAAACCTCATTTCCAAATGCTAATTAGCACATAATTATAGCCACATTCATGTGCAAATAAATTTTGCATGTATCCGCGCCGCCGCCAATGAGAAAATTATTAAATTAGTTACTTAAACTTCCCTCGCATGTTTAAGTTTAAATATTAATTTGCACTTGCGCATTTAATGGTTGTCGGTCTAATAACTTTGGCACTCTGAGACATTACAATTAGACGGCGGCCGTTTTCATGCCGACTCGAATTATGACGTGATAATCAGGCACTGAGATGAAGTGCATTTACACAGAAAAATCTTTCTATGTTTAAAATCATATCTGACTCTAAAAATCTAAAATACTTTTTTCAACCTAAATCCTGGGTTGAGCCTTTTGGGTAAATTTCATGGGATATTTTTTTCAGTATTTGGGTAGTTTTTGTGTAACCCAGATCCTGAGTCAGATATAACAACCCAGGGGTTGACTTAAATGTATGCAATATGTATTCATAACTATATAAAATATGCTATACTGTAAAATATGATCGGAAATATGCAAACCAGTGGTTGTGTGGAGTTTTATAAATGAATTATCCCAGTATGCTGGGTTAAATAAACAAGCCAATTTGCTGGGTAAAATTAACCCAACATGTGTTCTATCCTGTATTTATCCAGCCCTTGGGTTGAAAACAACCCAAATTGGGTTGTTTTTTTAACCCAGTGTTTTTTACAATGTAGGTGGGAACATCCTACAGAATAGGAAAAATGCAACATACGAAAAGCTTTGAATTGCACTTTAATTATCTTTAATAACCTCAGTGGCAAACCTACTACACATTGAAAATGTTGATCATCAAAATGCGCAGTGTTCCAGATACTCTTTTTATATAATCATACTCATTATAATGTATAGTAAATAGTGTGTAATCAGGTGACTGACATCAGAGCAAACATTGTGTGTGTTTAAAAATCTGTTGAGAACACACACACACACACACACTAGGGGTTTCATCAACTAGTCGACTAGTCGACTGTCACAACCACTAGTTGGCGCTGTTGGCCTTAGTCGACTAGTCGGAAACAAAATGATGACATATATATATATATATATATATTTATTTTTTTTGTTAACTATCCCTTTAAGTACAAGCGGCAGTACTATATACTATAAGCACTATAAGGCGCACCTTCAATGACCTATTTTAGAACATTTTTCAAACGTTTGACTGGGTTTGCATTATGCATCCACTAGATGTGCTAAAGGGAATGCAGCGAGTGCGCGGCGTCGGAGGTGAGGCGTTTATTTAGTAAGCGTGAACGCGCTGGGGCGGGCACGTAACTTACATTCGCAGCCTGCTGACAGCAGTGTCTGTTCGTGTGTGTGTTTAGAGAGAGCGCTCGTGAGCGGGAGATATTTTATACGAGGTTGAACTGGCCGTGTGACAAAGCGGGCATAAGATGGACACGAGCGCGAGCAATTCCATATATAATGCGCTCCGGATTATAAAGCTTGAGAAAAGGCCGGATTGAGAAAATTAAAGGCTTTTAAGTGCGCTTTATGGTGCGGAAAATACGAGTACTGCTCTCGCTTTTAGACCAGCACGCGACGTGTTTAATATGGACGCATATTAGCCTACACCAGATTTTCTCTCAAATGTTTGCTTTCACTTTCTATATGGGGAGGCTGCACTTTAGACATAGCCAATTCTGTTTATGTAAACATTGTGTGTATTTAACAGTATTAGCATAATAAGACTCGAAAGATAACTTAGTCCAGTATTCAGGCGCTGTTTGACAGGCTTCTAATGCCTGTGAGC